TCGCACGTGTGAAGCACTGGGTTCAATCCTCAGCACCACATAAAAATAAATAAACAAAATAAAGGTATTGTCCATCTATAACTAAAAAGAAAATATATACATATATACATACATAAAACCCTCTATTCCTGGTATGAGGATAAGCTATAGTTAAAAAAAAAAAGTAGGTATTTATTTCATTAGGGTTGAAGATTAAATGAGATAATACACTTTAACAGCTGGTATAATATTTAGCAAATAGGAATATTTGATATTTTGATATTATCATTACTATTATTATCATTATTACAGATAAATGTTTAATAAAGTATGAGTATTATTATCACCAACTATATTATAATATTAACCAAATTATTTCATACACAAAAAAAGAAAAAACKTATAAATATAACTCAAAAAGTTAAGAGATTTTTAAAATGCCTTTTGTGTGGGGCATGGACACCACAGATTTTAAATAACATACCATGAAACTATCAATTGGACTACAATATYCACTAGCTCTGTGTTCATCAATTATTAGAGTCACTAATTACTCCATTCATGTTTGGTTTTCTCTCATTCTAGACTTCAGAATTCTGCTATACACTCTGATATCAGTGATGGTGGGTAAATGTGATGGACAGGGAAGGAAATTATAACCTACAGTAACCTAGAGGTTATCATAATGGTTTAATTTGAAAATTACATGACAAAAAAATCGCCTTTAATTGTCTGTGTAACACACACATAGTTTAGGTTAAAAAAAAACTACATTCTCTCACAAGTCCACCTGGAGTCTATTTCAAGTGTTTTCAYGCTTGAATAAAGTCTTCAGGAGCAGATTAACAACAACATGACACTAGATTATTTGTTGGTTTTATTCTATGAGAGTAAAAGAAAAATTTATAATAGATCTGACATTGTCCCCAGRCCCATTTAAGGCTGATTAATTACTTGTCATACCTCTTAAACTGCTGTCTGCTTCTTTCACCAATTCACCAATTTATTCTCAGAAGACAAAACTTCTGAATGCACTTTATCCAAAACAGTTTTTTTCCCTACCTGTGGGGCGAGGGATGGGGTGCTAGATCAGAGATGGCCYTGGTGATTTCTAGATCTTCATTCTCTAGAAAATAATGGAAACAAAGAATCAATATCTGAGAGGGAACCCAATTATAATTATCTGTAACTTAAAAAAAATACTAGCAGTTTCAACCAAAAATATTTTGGGCATAAACTTTATATTCTCAGAGTCTCAGAACAAAAATGACTCAAGACATCACATCAAAGTATTCTCAAACCATCAAAACCCATTCATAAAAAAAGATAAGTCATTTTGCAAAACAAGTCCCCACAAAATTAATCCTAATTCAAGAATCATAATTCTCATAAAGTAGGCAGAACACAGAAGGCAGACTGGAATGTACAATGAAATGAACTGAATTCAGTGTCAAATTACAGAGTGTCACTTCTACATTCAGGTTACTGTATCCAATGTCAAGTAAGGGACTTTTGTGATTTAATTCATTTATTCATTCACCCATGATTTCTTGAATGAGTAGGTACCCTCAATAAATATACAAGTGAGGGCTAGGGATATAGTTCAGTTGGTAGCATGCTTGCCTCATATACACAAGGTCCTGGGTTCAAACCTCAGCATCATTAAAAGAAAGAAAGATATAAGTGAAATGCATAATGAGGGTCATRCTCCCAAGCTCTGGACAAGCTTGGTGTTACTGTTGCCATCTTGCAGGTAAGAAAACTAAGGGGGAGAGACTGTGCTCTTAAACATCAGGTGTTACTTAGTTTTGTGGTTTACTTGTTCAGCCTTTCCCTGTACACTCAGATAAAATCTGGTTTTCTACATTTAGATAGCCATTAGTTCAGTGCCCTCTGGTCAAGACAGAAAGAAACTGAAGCCCCAAGACCACTTTCTAATACAAAAATGAAATGTTTTTGATKTGGGTGGTACGGGGGATCAAACCAGGGACATTCTGCCACTGAACTACATCCCTAGCATTTTTTTTTTTTGAGACACAGTCTCACTAAGTTGTCCAGGCTGGCCTTGAACTTGCAACCTTCCTGCCTCAGCCTCCTGAGTACAGGATTACAGGTGTGTGCCACTGTGCCCAATTAAAATAAAACTTAATGAGGTAAACCTCAAACACTGAGAATGTCATAAAAGTGAAAATGACAGGCAAATACTTGTGATCCAACCTTAATCTAGTCTCTATTTCTTGTATACAAATAGCCCTATATTTCTTTCTTGTCCATTTACAGTCTCGAGGGTAGAAACATCTTGAGCTCAGGCTACCCCATTTTCCTCTCAACAAAAGAACTGAGTCTAAGATGCTTGTCAGCTATTCCCCAGTTTCTGCCACTCTGTGAACAGACCCAATTCCCTGARGGATAATGAGAATAGAAAGTTCTTCCCTATGCTGACTTAAGTGAAAACTGCTTCCTAATAAATTTACTCTGTAATCACTCCTCCCCACAACACCCTTTCAAAATATTTGTAGTCTGCCGTCACACTTCTCATAGGTTCCTTCTACCAGGGCTGGCCATCTCCACATCACAAGGCCTCTACTATGCAGGTCCTGTTTCATTGCTCCACTTCATTTGTTCCACTCAAAGTAAGGAGCTAAAACAAACAGCCATTTCAGATGTGCTCTAACCCATGCAGGGTACACCAGCAATAACCTCTTACTAARGACACAATATTTTTTGGTATAACACCCCATCCAAGCACTAGATTTTTTTAACTGCTAATTTACTCTGTTGGCCTAMATAAGTCAATCAAAGTTTCAGGGTTTCTAAAATCAACTTTTTCAAGCCCACTCCAACTTATGYTCTATTTTTGAGATACACTTTTGGAAAATAACTGACTTATTAACTTAAATTCAGAACTTTATATACCCATCTTATTTWTTTCAAATTAAATTTTTGAAATTATACCCATAATGCTTTGTTCATTGTATAACAAATTAAATATTRATTAAAAAAATTTTGCATCTGCCCTTCCAAACTTTGTCCTTTAAAAAACTTTTTAAATATACAAGTAATCCAAAATTCACAATAGAAAAATCAGGAAATACTGATAAACAAAATAGCCACAGAAACACCAATAACTAAAACTCCACTAACCAAAGATAGCTACTATAAACAATTTGATGTATATCCTTTCAAAAATTTATTTACATATTTATACATATAAACACATAGGTAACAGTTGGCATTATGTATGTATATGTGTGTGTGTATGTGTGTGTGTGTGTGTGTGTGTGTGTAAGGGCTATCTCATCGTTTTAAACAGCTGCACCTTCCACCTACTAGTTTTGGCAATCAATCATGATCATTGTCTAAAACTGATAGATAATTTCATTAGAATCTGGTAAACTGTTTTTTCAATTCTAGCAAGCACTTATTTATTGTAATTCTTATATTAAAAAATAAACTTCTCCTCATCAACTATTTGGCTGTTATAAAATACTCATAAAAGAAAAGTAGGATGAAGAATTGATTCTAGGAGCCAGGCACAGTGGT